TATGTATGTATGTATATATGTATATATATGTATGTATGTATATATGTATATATATGTATGTATGTATATATGTATATATATGTATGTATGTATATATGTATATATATGTATGTATGTATATATGTATATATATGTTTGTATGATAGAAACCCAAGTATAACCGTCCAAAGAAGTGTACCCAGCTCCAGGAAGGTTGCATCCGGGTCGGAGAGCCGCCTCAGTTCTCTTACACCTTCGTAGAACTCGACTCGAGTTCAAAAATCCGAGCTTCCCCTTCGTTAGGTGGATGATACACATAGAGATCAGACACATTAAATGTGAAAGAAATGTTGAGATCTTGAGGAAATTTAAGAACATAGGCATTGTCATTGATGCGTTTGCTAATGGGAAATGATCCGATCTTGTGAGACTTTAACTTAGAATATACTCATTGTGGGAATATATCTTTGCAAAGCCGCACCATGACTAATTCCCCTTCTTGAAATCTTTTGTGCGTCTAGGATTTATCAGCTTGTTTTTTGTGAGTTTGTGATGAAATTGTGAGGTTATCCTTGACTTCCCGCAACATAGATTCAAAATTGTTCACCCATGTTTCTGCGCTGCTGCCTTTTCGGTTTCAGAATGATGGTAAGATCCACTAAGTGGTTCAGTTCTTTAAATGTGAATTCTGCTTGCCCCAAATATTCTTCTCACTGTTTCGGTTGATTACCTACAATACAACGAATCATATTACCTAAAGATCGATTGATGGCTTCAGTTTGCCCATTCATTTGTGGATGATATGCTAAACCAATTGGAGATTTGTATTGAGTTGTTTCGACAATTACGTCTAAAAATAACTAACGAATTTGATGTCACGATCAGATATAATGCTCGTTGGGATGCTGTGTAGGTGCATGATCTCCTTAAAGAAGAGTTTAAAAACATTCGAAGAATCATTAGTTTTCTTGCAAGTCACGAAATGAGCCATTTTGGAAAAATGATTAACAACTACAATAATAGAGTCTGATCCGTATTTGGTGCACGGTAGGGCCAATATAAAATTGATGCTAAGATCCTCCCAAATAGAATACAAAATTGGTAATGATAGTTAGAGTTCGATATTTTCTCTTACCTTTATAATGTCGACATACCGAGCACTTTTCCACAATCGACACACATCTCTTCTCAATTTGGGTCGAAAGAATTTAGATTGCACAAGTTTGAAAGTTCTATCTCTACCCGCATGAGCAAAATTTAAAATAATTTGTTGTCTCAGTGAAGTGTCAGGAACACACAATTGGTTGCCCTTAAAAAGATAATTTTGTTGAATGAAATAATCACTTTGAGGAGAGTGCTTCATACGAATCATCCAAGTAATTGAGAAATCTTCATCGTTAATGGTATAAATCTCGCAAATTTTCCATACATGTGATGCTAGTTTGGACCGTGACCAACAAGCTTGCTCCACTACTCAAAGCGTCAACTACACGGTTGGTGTGACCGGCACGGCGTCTCACCACAAAACTATTTTTTTTTGTAAGAACAAAACCTATTATACATGCATTCAATTTAGATTTTTCTGCGATTGTAAGAACTGTAAGGGTTGATGGACACTAAATATGATGAATTTATGATGCAATAAGTAATGTCCCCAAGTCTTTAATGCTTGAATAAGTGCATATAGTTCCTTCTCATATATAGACCACCTTTTGCTTGTCGTGCTCAACTTTTCGCTAAAGCAATCCACTGACTTTCCTTCATATGATAGAACTACGCCAATTCGTACCGCCGAGGCATCAGTTTCAACATGAAAGGGCTTTTCACAAAATCTGGTATACCAAACATAAGAGCTGAACTTAAGTGCTTTTCTAAATTGAGAAAGCTCTCTTGTTGTTCTTAACCCAATAAAAATTTTTCCGTTTTAGGCAATCAGTTAACAGTGCAACAATAGGACCAAAATTTCAGATAAAACTCATGTAAAAGTTGGCAAGTCAATAGAAACTACGAACTTTCTTAATTGACTTGGTTTTGGCCACGATTGGTTAGCCTGTATCTTCTTATGATACACCTTTCCACCTGCATGTCCTATGATGGGCCTAATTTTTCTGTGCGGACTCCTGACGTTGCTCTACGTAGCTCTACGTGCCGCGGAGGTTATTCTTAAGTTATTTTCAGGTTATTTCTGGGTTATTTTTAATAATCATGAAATAACTCTGAAATAACCCGCGGTCTTTATTTTTGAGTTATTTCTAGGTTATTTCGGGATTATTGAAAATAACCCAAAAATAACCTGAAAATAACTTAGAAATAACCTCCGCAGCATGTAGAGTTACGCCAGGAGTTCGGACAGAAAATGCGCTCCTATGATGGAGCCTAGGAAATGAACTTCCGTTAATGCAAATTCACACCTCTCTAAATTCAGAAATAGTTTATGATTTCGGAGAGTGATGAACAACGACATCAAATGTCCAAAGTGTTCTTTTAGTGACTTACTTTATACAAGAATATTGTCAAAATAGACGACACAAAATTGACCAATAAAAGTTCTTAAAAATTCATGCATTAGCCTCATGAAAGTACTGGAGTGTTGCACAAACCAAAAGACATCACTTGCATTCTTATAGATCTTCCTTAGTTTTGAATATCATCTTCATTCGTAACCCAGGCGGATATGGATTTGATTGTACCCACTCCTCAAGTTTAACTTGGAGAAAATGACTTCCCCTGCAGTTTATCTAATAAACTTCCATACGAGGCATTAAAAAATGATATTTTATCTTGATCTTTTTGTTGGCGTGATTGTCTATGCACATCC